TCTCCGTTGCTCCATCTAAGTGGTACAAGTGAGTCCATAGTTGCATGGTAAAATTGTAATGTGATACAATTGAAATGGATATGAACAATTATTTACAGTGGCCCCTTATGGTAACTGAAATTGTGTTGTCAAGTCAAACAATCTTCTTTTCCCTGTGCAATGGTTTGTCAACTCAAACAATCATCTCTTCTGTTGTCAACAGGTACATTGAGTTCTTCACTTAACATAGAATATGAAATGCAAACAAATTAAAAATTTGACTGCGATTTTGTGTAAAAACTATTAGATTTGGAAATTTACTCTCTTTATTTCACTAAAAATGACTTCAAAACCATGGACCGGTGAAGAGGACTTGGTTCTTAGTCGTGCATATATTCATGTGTACAAGACCAGCAAGTTGAAGGATCCAATGTTTTTGACTCGTTTAACTAATATCTTCACGCTGAAACTCGAACGACTGCAGCAAACCATCATGACAACCTAGATATCACAGCAAAATGGTATGAAATGAAAACTAAAATTCTATTATTCAACGAACTTTATACCAAAATTGACGACGTTCGTTTAAATGCTACTGAGGAGGTCATCTTGGAAGCTGCTAAGGAGGAATACAAATCATTAAGTGACAGGTTGGAATTCCAATATGAAGCCCCTTGGAATACTTTGAAATATGTCTCATTTGTTTAATATCTACTTTTATGTATTAGTTTTGTACTAGGTTATTTGAATGTATTTTGTTTGTATTAGATGTAGCTCCTCTGTTCAATGTTATTTATGAAAACTCGTTGGTTTTTTTTTTACAATACATTACAAAAACATTACAAATAACAATTCCATGAAGCATTACAAATATATTACAAATATGAAATTTTCATAATAATAGAGTCATCTACATGAAACATAACACTTAAAACATTACAAATAACAATTCCATGAATCATTACACTTAAAACATTCCAAATATGAATTTTTCATAATAATAGAGCCGTATACAAGAAATATTTATTATTCTTAACAAGCTTCCAAACATCCTCATATTCGAAGTCTCTACCTCCACGCTCCAAAATGTAAAAATCCTTAACAATTTCCAAAAAAACTCTTCTTCACCTGCATAATGAGTTTTCATCATTTTCGCATAATTAAATGCTCGATTGAACCATGTGACTTCTCCCTTTACATCCATCCATTTACCGACAATATATTATTGTAGTCGGTGTTGTCCTTCTCCCATTTCATGGTTGAACAAAGTTGTTATGTGGGTCCATTTATCACCAACCAGGAAATGCGAGGGATCCAGTAGCATTACACCCTCCTTAACACTAAGCCAACATCGTGTTACAAACAATACCTCATTTGTTGTCCATGGTCGTGGAGAATTAGAACCACCTAGTGCATTCGAAGAGGTTGCTACATTCAATGACATTTCTGAACATGGTTTTCCGTTTCGTATAGATTACATGCCTATTTATAATAATCATAAAAAGAAGAGTTAACATGGACTTAAAAAGTGTAGTGGAATCCCTTTGTACTACATTGACTTATCATGTCAAACAATCATTTATGTGTTGCCATTTCGAAGTTTGACTAACATTTGTAGGTACTACAATGACTTGTCATTTATGTGTAGTCATTTCAAAGTTTGACAATGAATTCCAACTCTGACTACAAAATTTTTGAATTTGGACTATGATTTATAGATTACTAGGATGTATAAATACGACATATAACACCGTTTTCTAACTAAAAATACTATATATAACCTCGACTTTATTATGAGTTCATCCCCCAAAATCGAAATTTGCTCATGCAACGAAGTAGATTGTTACTATTATGATCCAGTCGACACATTTTTACATCCTCTTCGGCAGGCCCATATATGTCAGATAAAATTTTTCAAGAATTAAAAAGGGCTAAAGAACAACAAAAACAGGATAAAGAGGCATCCCGACTTCTCAGCCAACGTCATAAAGTTATTGCATCGGAATGCAAGCAAGCTCAAGAATGGATAGACCTTAATAAAAAAAAATCAAAGAGCATGAAGAATGGATAAAAAAGACTAAGAATACAATCAAAATGACTGAAAAATGGCTTGCTGAGAATAATGCAAAGATGATACATCTTAGGGTGCAAAATGATCATTTGGAAGATAAAATGTGAGTTAGGGATGACTATATAACAATAGAGAAAGAGAAGTACCCATTATAGTTCCTTGAGTTTAATAGTTTGTTAAAAAGTTGTTGTCACATTGTCATGGCTGCTATGTACTCACCATATTTATGTTCCATGACAAAAAATGCCTCAAAGACCAATACGTTGAAATAACAACACAACACTACGACTAACGCCGCCTCCTCCGGAGGTAAAATTTGTTGCATTCCAGGCAGCAGTATCGGCTGCGGTCACCACAACATTGGCTCATATTCATAATGGAAATAATGGTGGTAGAAATGGTTAAGGAATGGGAAGCTTCAATCACGGAATGAATTAAGGGACTACGAAAGCATGCACTTAAAAGAATTCTCTAATGCAAAACCCTGAACATTCAGTGGAACCAGCGACGTGATAGCCTTGAAGCGTTGGATTGAAAGACCAAATCTGTCTTTGAAATCTGCGAATGTCCGAAAGAAAGCAAGGTGAAGTTCGCAACTTGCACCTCTGTTGACCAAGCCCTATCCTGGTGTAATGGTCATGTGAAGGCCATGACCTTGCCAGTCGCAAACGCTATGCCTTGAGAAGAACTTAAGGAGATGTTGATGGTAGAGTACTGTCCTCGTGGGGAAGTACAGAAACTAGAACAAGAGTTATGGAACCTCACAGTGTAAAACTCAGACGTCAAGGCTTACATTTCCAGATTCAGTGAGTTAGCACTGTTGTGCCCAGGTATGTTCACTTCAGAGGGAAAGAAGATCGAACGATTCATTTGGGGGTTAACATCTCCAATTTAAGGAAACATGATTGCGGCAAACCCTAAGACTTTTGACAGTTCAAAACGGCTAGCTTAGAAGCTTTATGATCATGGCAACACGAAAGGTACCAAAACTACTGAGACTGAGGCCAAGAATGAAAGGAATAACAAGAAGAATGGAGAAAATAAATGAAAGGGGCGACAAAACCATGGTTCCTATAAAAAGCAGTAATTCGTAGCAGTCCACGCTGCTACGACTCAAGTTACACTAGCCCCACCTGCCCCCAACATCATCCTCACAAACTAATACCAAGCCTTACGTAGGAACATTACCAAAATGTAACAAATGCAACTACCACCACAATAGCGAGTGTAGAGAAATGCAATATACCAACTGGAACCGCAAGGGACACACCACCCGGTACTGCATATCTCAACCCCAACCGAACCAACAGCCCAACAACAACAACAACAACAAGAACAACAACAACAACAATAACAACAACAACAACAACAACAACAACAACAACAACAACAACAATAGCGTCGATGCCAGTTATACTTGTTATGGATGTGGAGGAACTATCCATTTTAGATGAAACTGCCCCAGAGCCATCACTCAGGGTGCAGGAGGATCAGTCAGGATCCTAACTTTGGGACAAGGGGAGGTGGTTCAAGACTCTATCGTTGTCACTGGTACGTTTTCCCTCAACAACACCTACGCATGCAGTCTATTTAATAGTGGGACTGAGCGGAGTTTCGTGAGTAGTAAATTCAAACACTTACTAAACCAACAACCCCAAAATCTAAGCGAAGCCTTCACGGTGGAGATGGCTAATAGGAAAACTGAAACAACCATATATATATATATATATATATATATATATATATATATATATATATATATATATATATATATATATATATATTCATATGGTGCACTCTAATGCTAAATGATCACTCGTGTCAAATTAATTTGATGTCGGTAGTTATTAGAAGTTTTGATGTGATTATAGGCATGGATTGGTAAAGCCCCCATCATGCCGACATTATGTGTCACGAGAAGGTTGTTCGCCTTCACCTCCCTAACCACCACTACTAGAAAATAGACCTTTAATGACGCGCTTTTTATGACACACACTGATTAATGATATGCAAAAGGACGTGCTCTTAAAATAGTGTCATCTCTTCAAAAAATTTAAGGATTTACGTCACGCATTATTGCGTGCCCTTAATTTAGTGTCTCAAGAAAAAAAATTAAAAACACGGAGGGCACTTTATCTTAAACGCGCGTCGTCTGTACCTGTTGCTTTATAATTTTAATGAAACGCACTTTTAGTAGACAAGGGGGGAAACGAAATCCCCAAAATTTTGAAAATCCGCCTCGTTTTTTCTATCTTCTATCTATCTTTAATCCTTGTAATCCACTCTCCCATCTCTGATACTCTCTCCTCTAGATCTCCCTTCATTCTCTACCTCCCGTCTCTCTATAAACCCTAAGCCATCGCCACCTCCCTTCTCTCTAGCACGTGCTAGGGTTTCCACCAGCGACATTGGGCTTGTTAAGTGATACCGCAAAATTAATTATTGTATTTAAATTCAACATTCAGGGCGAAGAGAGATTTCTTGAACGAAATTTATAACATCATCAGTAATCCCAAGTGGATCAATCTCTTCAAGATCATCCGCTAGATCAAACTGGAGTAAATTGGAAGCGAATTTAGAAATTTCACTCACTACTTTATTGGATGATAGCAGAGAGAGGCATGTTTTAAAGCTACCACCAATTTTAGCGAGGTCGTTCTTTATGCCTGTGTAAGAGGAAGTAGACGATGGTGAAGCCTCGCCGGAATCATCGGACTGCAGTTTCGAGGTTGAAGAAGAAGACTGTTGTGGTGGTAGAGCAAGAAAGGAAGCAACGTTTTGTAGTTGACGGCCGATGGTTTGTGTGATGATGGAAAAGCCTGGTTTTGCAGTGACGGTGGGGGACTGAGGAGGAGATTTTTCTTCGTCGGAGTTGAAGGGGTTGGGAAGAGAGAGAGAACAACAATTAGTACCAAGTTTGACCACTTTGAGGCATAAAATTCACAATCACATGAGTGAACAACACTTTTGGATGATTTATTTCATTTTGTTGCTTCCAAGATTGAAAGACGACGATTATATGCTTCTATCAACCCTAGAGATTGTACAAATACACGAGGTGCTTCTGCAAAAACTGAGAAACAAGAATAATACATCCATGGAGTTAACAGAGGATACTAATGGAAATACAAGTTTATCTGAAAAGGGTAGTGAGGTAAATAGCACTGAAGAAGCCAACAAGACTACTAAGAGTGAAACCCTTGAGGATGATGTTTCTTTCAGTGATCTAGAAGATGAAGATAATGATCTTTCTAGTAGATTATCTAGTATTAGACAAAGAGAAAGTAGCAGGGTTTCTTCAGCTAGTGAAGCAAGTGATTGGATTCATCTTAATGAAAGAAAAGCAAACCAATCAAGGCATTATTCAGAAAGTGAAGAGTCAAATGATTGGCAAGCTGTAGGGGATGTTGATCTTTTATCCTAGTAAAGCTTATATTCCTTAAATCTTACCTAATTGGTTCTTTCTATTTTGGGGAATTCCATGTTTTCTAAAGGGATGTGGTGAAATTGTTTGGATAGTTCATAAATCTACATTGTAAATGTTGAATCGGTTTTAAAACAAATGATCCATCATACTCTGGGATGATAACTATTTTTTGTGTCTAACATGATTATTAAGATTATTTGGGCGGGCTAAAATGTAAAATGGACATGGACATTGAGTCTTTAAACAATACTAGACTAATTTATTTATTTATTTTAATTATAAATCTGAAACTTGAATTTTTTTGGCATTTAGGTTTCTGATCTCAGGAAGAACCTGAACATAATAAATTATGCAGTAGAACAGGCAAGTTATGATAGTTAATTAGTTATTAATTTATTGATATATATATATATATATATGTATATATATGTATGTATGTATGTATATATATATCTAATTAATGTTGATGGTGTTTGTATCAGATTAGGGGTTCTACTAAATTGAAGAGAGTCATGCAAACAATTCTTTCATTAGGAAATGCATTGAATCAAGGGACTGCAAGAGGTGAGTTAAGTTTAACTTTGACTATGATCTTTGACTTTGACTTTTTATACTCACAAAAATAAAAATAAAAATTGATTTTGTTTTAGGGCCTGCGATTGGGTTCAGGTTGGATAGCCTGTTGAAACTTACAGACACACGTGCAAGGAACAATAGAATGACATTTATGCATTATCTTTGTAAGGTATTTATTTTATTTCTCTTCCTTTTATTTTAGTAAAATTAAAAAGTAAAAAGAAAATCATCTTGTTTTCAACTTTTGTGGATCATGGTGGATATGTGTGTAGGTGCTTGCTGACAAACTACCTGAAGTTCTTGATTTTTCCAAGGATCTTCAAAGTTTGGAACCTGCAGCAAAGGTATATTCTAGTTTAATCTTCTGCAAATTTTTAGCAATGTTTTTTTAATGTTTAATTATATTGATTATTTCTTTCCAGATGCAGTTGAAATACTTGGCAGAGGAAATGCAAGTTATTACCAAAGGATTAGAGAAAGTTGTCCAGGAATTGTCAACATTAATGTTGCATTAGTTGTTCATTCTGGTGCTTATTTTGATATATGCAAATTCTTCTGCAAAATAATTTATATAAGTTGAAAGTGTAGTCTTAATATTTTTTCTATTCCAACAGTTTTAACTATTACTATATGTGGAACATTAGAAACATTTGCAGAATGTGTAGTGCTAAAGGAATGAATATGTTGGGAAAATGCCAACATTGAACCATGGAGTTATTCTTTATTTCTTTTAGATCACTCATTAAATGTAATTTTTTTGTTTTATAATGTGATAGGAAAAACATGGGATCAATAGTTTGGAGCTTCCTCTAATTCAGCATACACAGTTGCCTGATCTGGATAAACTTGTTTCCCTGTTGAGTGGTAACCTTTGTTCATGTTGGTTTTAGCTTTCTAATATAGTGTTCCTTATGATGGAATCATGGCTCATTCCATCACAACAGAAAAAAAATTGTTTGTTTTGGGGGATATTTGCATAAAAACCCTAAAGTTTTTCAGAAATATACAGTTTTACCCTAACATCCCTTTTTGGTGGGTTTAGAGGGTGCTGCTTTCCGATAAACACCAACCTCTGAACTCAACAACCAGATAAATTAGAAAAGGGTATAATGGGAAAACCAATATTTTTTTTGATTTGGGATTGCTTCTTCATATATTTTTTTTTAATGAACAAAAGGGTATAATGGGAAAATTAATATCTGGTTTTGAAGTACTTGCATGATTTTTTAAGTGTTACATATCTCAAAGTAGATGCATTTTTTAAGTGTTACACGTCTAATATCGAAAGCTGAGTATGTCTTCTCCTTTGATCTTACTGGAATATTATTTCCTTTAGTGTAATTCTTCTCTAACCCTTGCTAAGGCAATGCTGTTACAGTATGGTGCCAATATAAATGTCAGTTTTTCTTGCCCAACATGATCATCTCTTTATTTTATAGGTGAGAGAGGATTAAAAGGAAGGAATCTTATAGAATATAATGTTAAAAACGTTGATGAAGTCCTCAAGCTTCTACTGCAGGTATGTTAATATAGTGAAACTTTAAACTTTGTTACTACTTGTTTATGATTATATCAGATTTAAAATTAGGTTGCATGCTTTATTAGGGTGTTGCAACTAGGAAAGAGGCAGGAACAGATATGAACATTGTGTCAATATAGGGTAAAGGATTCCATGACTCACCTTTGGTTTGGAAGGTTAAATTTGGTAGACGTGGTTGGTTCTAAAAGCTAATTTGATAGCTTAAACCATCTTATATATAAGTTTTGTCTAGATTTGCAACGTTTTCAATGTTGTGATTCATAAAAGGCTTCACTAGTTTCGTGTCCTGTTGTCAAATTTTGAGCAATTTTCAACATCTGATGGGAATAATACATTCAGAAATTTTTAGAGATAAAGTATGTGTATGCAATTGCTGAGAAGTTTACATACAAGTATGTACAATGTAGTATGTTTTATTGTAGACTTTCATATGTTTGCAAATGCTAAAGCAAAAAATGGGTCAAGTATTCAACAAAGTGGGGAGACCAAATTCTACCAGATTCTCTTCTCAACCTGTCTAATGAAGATGATATTCTTTTCATGGATGTAGATATGAAGGATCATATGTAATTCCTGGTGTTCAAGATGATGTGGCATCAACATCAGTATCACAGATAGAATCTGTTCAGCTTACAGAAGGGCATATTATTTTCACTTCGAACAGGGCGGATTTACTACAGATGCAATCAGTTCATGTAAGTTAAAATTCTAAATTTACTGTAGAGTTATTAGATAATTATTATTATCTAGTTAGTTAGGAATTACTTCATGATGCTTCGCTTCCCCCTGTTGTAGATGGTCTTCTATGGTTCATAAATGAACTAGGCACTTCGTTTTTAACATAGCTTATTTCTTATCACTTGACATAAAAAATTGAAGTATATATATATATATATATATATATATATATATATATATATATGTTATTAGTAATTATGGAATTAGGTAGCTATTTTATGTGAAAAAAATGTGGATGGGTTAGTTGCAGGCCTGCCTTACTACTTGTTGTAGTACTTGTTGGCTTTTGTAACCAACAAGCAATCATGGATTAGGGTTTTGTGAATAGAAACTGGGAAAAATGGGCATGTAAAAATGTTGGTTTTGATGGTATGCAATCATATTCCACTTCTAATTTCTTGCTTTTCACAATGATTATATATATATATATATATATATATATATGTATGTATGTATGTATGTATTATAGTTTACAAACTGTAGAATGTGTTTAGTAGTGAATCTCATATGGACAAAATGGTAAATTTTCAAGTGGTTCAATCAATGTCATTTAGTAATATTTGGAATTACAGCCTCTGTAAGTTTGACTAAAACCTTCTGATTTTGTTTACTTTTTAACTTTGTTTTTGGTTTCATTTAGTAATAAAGTATCAAATATCAATGGTTATGTGGTAGTAATCCTTCTGAGGGGGTGTTTGTTGGGCTGCTTCTTTCAATGTCATTAACAACAGTGGTAAGTAAAATCTAACTATTATGAAAATCTTTTGCTTAAACCTGCCTTATTGACTTGTAGCTGATTAAACATTAATTTAATTATGCAGGTTTTGAAGTTTTTGATGGAAAAGAATAGTGTTAATGCTCTTCATATGAAAGTATGTTGGTAGTTTAGGAAATTTGGCTTATAATATAGTTAATTATATAAAAAAATGTTGAAATATTACATTTGTCTACTATTGGAATGATTATTTGATGTATTACATTTGTCTACTATTGGAATGATTATTTGTATGACATTAAATTTTGTGCAATGTATTGTATTTTTTGTATTATGAGACATGAAATGCAAATTTAATTTGAAAATCAGTAAATCTATAAATAATTTTTTTTAAAAAATTTTAAATTACGATACGCAAAAATGTGTGTCGTCTTCATTTATGACATGACCTTTCTTGACAGGGGCTTTCTTGATACGCATTGTGTGTCATTAACACGTGTATCGTAAGGTTACGCACGCGAATGCATGTCGTCTTCCTTTATGACAGGGCCTTCCTTGATACACATTACGCGTCGTACACGCGCGTCGTAATTGCGCGCCGTAAATGAGCGTCGTAAATGTGTGTCGTCTATAAAGGACGCGCAAAAGCGCGTCGTCTCTCTTTATGACAGGGACTTCCTTGACGTGCATTTGCGCGTCGTCTGAGCCTTTTATGACACGCAATGAGCGCCGTAAAAGGTTGTTTTTCTAGTAGTGCACGAAACCCTAATAATCTACGGTGATAAACCTGGCGCCAATATATGTCTTGTCTCATGCATCAAGGCACAAAAATGTCTGCACAAGAAAAATTATGCCTTCCTCGCCCCTGTTGTGGATAAAACAAAAGAGGAAATAAGCATCAGAGATATACCAGTGGTGTCACACCCCCAAACCAGAACGGCGGAATCGTTTTAGGGCGGATGACTCCATGTAATATCGTAACAATTGAATACATAGTAAAGAAAGTAAAACAACCATCATATATGTAATTTAAAAGTTACATTGTTGAATGATACTCGTTTCAAAACAAATTACAACATGATGACAAAATGAGTTTTAAATTGATGTCTTAGCGTCACTTCTCCAAAAGTTGAAGTTTACCTGTATTACTAAATCCCTGAGAAATACAAGTAGATTTGAAAGAGTAGATCAACATTTAAGCTGGTGAGTTCATAAGTATTTAATGTCAATGTTTGTATAAATTTGAATGAAATTGTTTGTAGATGTTTGAAAGCTCCTAGAAAATCCCATATTTCCTACTACTATAAAAGTAGTATTCTACCAAGACCCGACTGTTTTGAATGTTTGCTTCTAGAAATCCAATATTTTTCCATAAGTGTATGGTAGTTTAAAAGTTCCAAAACTGTAATGCAATAGTGTTTTTTCATGCTAGAATAATAGATTTATGTATGTATAAAATCACTAAGGCATTTGATAACCCCGTAAATCCACGTGTTTTTAATACTCCATGTGAGTTTTATAACCATGCTATTGACCTAGGTTGCCTGTAACAAGGTTCTTCAGGCGTTGGAATGTTATGACGTTGTCACCCCAGACCTGCCAGTCTAACTATAGGTAACAGTTTAGGTGCGAGATTGTCAATCTCGTATAAATCTATACACAAGTATCACGCTCTCCCTACAAGAGATTATGGTATATAATGGAGGACTTTAACTGCATACTTGAAAGTACGTGAAGTTGAATGTCTCGCAAAACTTAGTATCAAATAGATTTACGTATGAAAAGTCCATTAGTTCTTGTATATGAAAGTATTTCTTTGCTATAGTACTCATAGTATGTAAAATCTCCTGAATAGCTAGTACACTATACCTATTATAGTTTTTCCAAAAGTATGTTTCATTTGTGTGGTAAACCCTAGTGTAGTGTCGACTTTGTATGTAAAGTATAACATTATTGAACATTTATACTTAAAATATAAATAAAGTGTTTGATATTTATATAACAACATGTTTCATTCCAAAAAGACAAAGTGTTATCATGATATGTTGTATGAGAATGTTTTTGTATGGTAGTTATAAATCACATATGATTGATTATAACAAAAAGTATAGCAATAGATTGATGTTGTTCACACGAGGATAATCGTGTGTTTACTTGTATTTCCCCCCCTTAAAAGTGTATAAAAGCATTTACAAAGAATTTGAAAACGTAGTTATAGGGGTATGAACTCACCTAATAGATTGAAGAGGGTGAGACGAAAATCGAGCAAAACTTTGACTTGAGAAAGTTGATTTCTCAGGTGTAACATCCCTAAATATCAAGAGTAGAGTTGAAGGGGCTAAAAGAGTAAGTTGTGAAAGAGTGACTCGGCGAGTCCATGGATGGACTCGGCGAGTAGAGTCGCGACTTGGTCGCGTGTTAAGTAGCCGACTCGGCGAGTCAGTTGTGACATCCCCAAAATCACGGCCAGAAAAGACCGGTTTTGTTTATACTTTATTTCAAAATCAGAGTTATCTTTTAATAAATGGTTTGCGGAATTTGTCCCAAAACAATAATATGATAAAGATTTATCAAAAGCATTTCCATAGAAATGTATTCATTAAAAGACTCGGGATGTCATGTTCGTACAGATCAAAAGTATAAACAGTACAATATAAGCCTTACTACATTATTTCATATCTACAGGCCTATATCCGTAATCCCTCGTCCAAAACATCACACCTATGCTCATGCGCCACTACCTGTAATACATAAAACTGAGTGGGTCAGGCTTGGGAGCCTGGTGAGCACATAGGGTTTTCAACCCACAATAAATAAGTTTATTAATTTCATCAATCAACAATAACCCGATTACCCGTTCCCGTTATCCTCACTTTACGTCCCTAAACACCTATCATAAGGGACCTAGCCTAAGGATTATCATCGGGACGGACACTACTGCTAAGGGGATTCCTCAGCAATAAATGTCCTAATAGGCAACCATGTGGGGGATGGAGTACACCGGTGAACACATCGTTCACAACACCTACAGGTTGCGAGCCTGCTAGTGTTCCACTGGACTGTCTAGAAGAGTCCGTGGTCGTCATCTATACTCCGCTAGATGACTGGATCAACAACAACAACATCGAGGCCTCTCATCATTTTATCACACATCACCTATTACATCTACCCATGTTTTACCCCAACATTTTCGTAGATATAAAATACATATACAGTTTAAATCATTGAAAACATGTATAACAACGTTCATCTAGCATAGATAGCAAGTATTCAGATAATATGCACACATAGCACGTAATTTATATAAAATACTTCATATCTATGTGTAAGTTGAAGGTAACTATGCACTCACCGGAAAAGGTGGTGATTCCGAACTCAGACAGCGCTTCGCTTCTTAAAAAGAATTTTTCTTCGACGAAACCTAGTATTATTACCACTAGAGTTTAGTTTATTATTCGTCGAGACTAATTAATAGTCTAGCTATTATTATTATTATTATATAAGCGTCAAAAAAATACTTATATAACCCATAATAATAGCCCAAGTATTTATTATAAGTTCCTAATAACGTTACTATAATTAAATAAAAGTTATATTAAAAATAGCGTAGGCGTAGCTCACTTACAGCGGGTTTTATAGAAAACCGGGCTTTGCTTGGAGCAGCGTTCCCGAGCCGAAAAGCTCTTCTTCTCAGAGCCTTCGAGCACTCCGGGGCTTCCGCCTCGTGCTAGGGAGGTTCCCTAGGCTTTTCGGGGGATTTCGGGGCTAGAGAGAGGTTCTAGAGAGAGAGAGAGAGTAAAGAGAAGAAAGAATGGGAAAGGTGTGAAGAAAATGAGGGTGGGAGAGGTGGTATTTATAGGGTGAAATGTGGCTGAACTTGGTGCCACATGTCACCATCTGGTGGCAAGCCTTGGGGAGAAAGCAATGGCCAAGATTGTGCCACATCACCCATTTTCGCACAGCACACTTCCGACTTCTAAAATCCGTAACTTTCACATACGACCTCCGTTTTTGACGTTCTTTATATCCACGCGTAGGTAATAATAAGATCTACAACTTTCATTTTGACACCGTCAGCTAATTCTCGACCGATCTTAAATTTAACAGTACAAGGAGATTATACTGTTAAACGTCTGCGTAAAATTAATAACTTCTACATACGGACTCTGTTTTTGTCTGTCTTTTTACCGTTGATTTCCTATTAATGAGATCTTCAACTCTCATTTATGTTGCGTAAGCCAAAAACCGCTCGAACTAAAATTCGAGTTTCAGGCCGTGCACTGCTAAGCCGAATCTTAGAAAAATCATAACTTCTTCATACGAAGTCAGATTTGGGCGTTCTTTTTATCGATGTTCTTAGTTTAACATATTCTACGACTTTTGTTTAGATTGCTAAGGCTAAAAAGTCTTCTATCGTAAATTCACTATTTACGTCTCCCGGTGTCGTGCCGGTTTTGTCGTAAAACTTCGGCGGGCCATAACTTCTTCTTTATAGCTCGGATTTCGGCATTCTTTATATGCACGGAAACCTTGAGACATATTCTACAACTTTATGTAGAGATATCGGGATTATCTCACACTTTAATTTTGACGCTCATTTTTATTCTTTATTAATTATACATTTATAATTAAATAATAAACACATAAACACACATAATTCACATAATACTCAAATATTTCATATTTATTACTTCAAAAAGAGTTACAATAGTTGACCTAGACTATTACATTGACAAAAATGCTTAGCCCTGAAAACCCGGGCGTTACAATTCTCACCCCCTTAGGATGATTCCGTCCCGGAATCATGCATCAGCAAACAGATGTGGATAGCGACTCATCATGTCATCCTCTGTTTCCCAAGTGAGATTCGGCCCATTCGAATGTTTCCATCGGACTAGCACCAAGTCGACCATCTTGCGTCGTAACTTCTTAGTCTTACGGTCAATAATTGCCTCAGGCTCTTCGATCAGCCTTTTATTCTCATCCATCCTTAATTCCGAGATTGGAATTATGTCGGGAACATCTCCCATGAATTTCCTCAAATAACACACATGGAAGGTGTTATGAATACCATTGAGTTCTTCGGGCAATTCCAGCTTGTAAGCTTGGTTCCCAATCCTCTGAAGAACTTTGAATGGTCCAATAAACCTTGGACTCAACTTTCCTCGTTTCCCAAATC